CGCACCGCCCGTCACCCAGTGGTGGGCGCGTGGGTCCTGGAGGCGGCCTGGTCCCAGTGGCGCCCGTAGCGCCCTGGCTGGCGAGATTTCTACCGCGCCCGCGTACGGGACAGGCCGACGGCGCGAGCCTCGGCCTCGCCGACAGCGACGCTTCCTGGCACACCTGCGAGCGTCCGTAAAGGAGTGCGCACGGTACGCGCGTCTTCACATAGTTTATTTAGCTCTGCGCACAGCGGGTACCCGTCGAGAGCCTGCTGCCGGTTGCTGACGCGGGAGGAACTCGGCTTACAGGGTCGGCGCCCTCCGGAGTCGAAGGAGAACGGAGCCCGGAAACCCTACTGCGCCTCCGCGGGGCTTTGCATCGAATGCGAGGACGCCCCTAGGCCCCCGCCCCCACCCTCGCCTCTCGGAAAGCATACGGCACACGGCAAATCAACAAACTCTCCCCCTTTCCTTCCAGCCGCGCTGTGCAAGCGGAGGGAGCTTTACCACCCCGCCCCGCCGGCGGCAGGCGCGGCGGGGCCCTTGCGGGGTGAGGGGGTTGTCGGTTCTCCTCCAACGGCGTTGGGGCCGAGGGGAGAGGATAACCCGGGAGTCCGCCACTGAAATTGGAGGGGGGGGGGCGGAGAAACAGGGAACGGAGTAACAGCTGTTCGGAACGACACCAAGCCTACCTCCATTCGATTCTCCCCCCCCCCCCCCAGGGGAGGAGAGGTAGGCAACCATTCGACATCAGTGAGCAGGCCAGATTAGCATGTTGTTTCAATAGAGACGGTGTTGTTTCAATAGAGACGGCTCATTCTGATGCTTCATTTTAATCATTACGACCATAGGCACAAGATCATCAAAAAGGCTCTGACAGCAGTTTAATAGGATTGTCATGAATCGTGAAATGAACTGATTTTCATTTCTTTTCAAGGATTAGGTGAATGAGAAGAAGTGCTTTGTAGAAGAAAAGCTATATTCTTATGAAACTCCACTAAATACTTCGTTTAACAGATGCAGCAAAATACAGTGTGTTAACATATTAATAAAAATAGGTCACCTCAAATGGGTGAGGGTTAAGTAGAGGTCTCACTGGGAATAACAGACACATGAGATGGAAGAAAACAAAAGCATGATTAGTGCATATGATTTGAAGAATCAAATTAATTGTCTTACAATCATAACTTAAAAACACTAGGTGGTGCTGGTGAAAATTGTCAGGACAAGTCCAATAAATAAGGTTTGAGATATTTCATTGATACAAATTTTAAAAGTCCAGATTGATATAAGGCACATATCATGAACAATAAGAAACCTAAATGCATGAATGAATTAATGCCTGCAGTTGAAAGAATTGAAAGTATAACAAAAACAATCAGCAGTGACCACGGTCTTGAACTCGTTTCCTTGGTGCTGCCTTGATGATATTGTCCACTCTCAGAATCACCTCAGCTGCTTCAGATGCAGACATCAGAACCTGCCTCTTCACCACAAATGATTCTGTAATACCCAACTGTCTCATACACCCAATGCGGCCATTATCCATATCTGAAGACAGACAAAAAAAAATATTAAAAAATCAGCATATTTTAACCAGAACAAGACAAGATTGGAATAGATTATTAAAATAATTATTAAGTTAGTACAACTAAGAAAAATTTCTTACCCAGACCCATGGTGCTTTTCCCTTGACTGTGTGCAGCACGAAGTTCACTAACCAGCTGAGCAGAGTCATACCCTGCATTATCAGCAATTGTTGTTGGTAGTTGGGCAAGTGCACGCGCAAATGCCTCCATAGCAACAGCTTCCTTTCCAGGTGTCTTGGCAGCAGCAGCATTCACAGCACCGGCCATGAGCATTTCACTGCAACCTGACAAAAAGGAAAAAAATTTAGAACTAGTGTTTGGATGTAAATAACTGTGAGGAGAATGAAAGCAAGTAAACCTTACCTCCACCAAGAACAATGCGTGACTCTCTCACAGTAGCTGCTAGTACACATAGAGCATCATGCAGAGATCTGTCAGCTTCATCTAGGATTTGTTGTGTAGCACCACGAATAACAATTGAACAAGCTTCTCCAAGCTTGACTCCTGAGAAGCGTAACAGAGTGTCTTCACCAATCATGATCTGTGCAATAGGAACAGTTTAAGAATGTGGAACAGACATATATAAAATTGATTATTTTTTTAGAAAAATAACCTTACCTGTTCAATTAGATCACAGTGGCCAAGCTTGACAAGATCAGGATTATCAAAAGTAGACACAATTTCACCACCAGTTACTAAAGCTAAACGTTCAATTCCATCAAAATCAGCATGTTCAATAGCCATGACACCAGCATCAGCAAACAACTGCTCTGGGTAGTTGTAGATCAACTGCCTGCAAAATAAAATGTTTATCAAATAGAAGTTTTGATGAATGCCAAGTAAGGCAGGTTCAGGTTAGGGAGAGCAGTAAAATTAATAACAGGGTTAAAGAATTTTAAATGTTAGTTGGAAACTTACCTGTTGATGAATACATTGGCATTGTGCTTGAGAATTTTGGCAACCTTATCCTTCATCTTTTCTTTCTCTGCAACTTCCAGCTCTGCAATTTTGGCCATTGAATCTACACGGACACGGGAGCCAAACACCTTGATTTTATCTGTGTCCATAGGTGTGTTAGCAATTAGAATCTTGGCATTTTCAATGCGTTTTGGCTGGTGAAGACCAGGTTTCTTGTCCAGAAGAAAACCTAAATTAAGAAAAAAAGACTTGAATGCAATCTGAGTTTAGCTCAGAAGATGTTATATTATAATTAACACGGACAAATTACCTTCGTCAAGGAAAGAATCTTCAAGCCGACCACCTGATTTCTTGATAATTTGAATAGCAGATAGCGAACCAGAGCCCTTGAGACGTAAAACAGCCTCTACGGCAAGATTAGCAAAATGCTCCTTATGCTGAGACAAAATTTTAGAGCTAAGAGTAGTCCTGGCAATATTCAGAAGGTCTTCCTTGAATTTGGCTGCGTCTTGGCTATGTTAAAGAATAAAAGAAAAGATTAGGGATGAGGCATTATGACAAAATTACTGTAATTTAATAATAATCTGCTGAAGACTGTTGGTAGAAATATACATGATCATCCAAGACTCAAGGGTAATCACACCTGTGTCTGCCACATAATCTTGGCTGCTCTGCTCATTAATTACACTGTACCATGCAATTAAAAGTGAGCAGAACCAGCCTGGTAGTAAGATGGAAAACATAAATTGAAGGACTCACCTGTTATCAAGACTGGCATTTTGAAGAGCCTCTCTGGCTACATTTGTAGCATCTCTCCAACCAGCAATAATAATTTGAGGATGAATTTTCTGGTCAATTAGTTTTTCTGCTTCCCTCAAGAGCTCAGATGCTGGAATAAAAAAGTCAGAATGTTAAAAATGAGGGGGGGAAAACATAACTAATAGAACAAAACAAAAATATGTTTATCCATACCGAACACAGTGACAGAGGTGGTACCATCACCCACTTCATCATCTTGGACTCTCGACATGTCTACAAGGATTTTTGCGGCCGGGTTGTCAATTCCAAGAGACCTCAAGATGGTAGCACCATCATTGGTGATCTCCACCTGAATGGAGAGAAATATAGTCATGGAAAATTATTGGAACACTTAAAAATGACCATGATGACAAAGTTATATACAATTTTTAAGTACCTGTCCTTCATTACGACCCATAGCCACCAATATTTTGTCCATGCCTTTGGGGCCTAGGGTGCTTTTGACCAGATCACCAATCGCAATGGCACCAATAATTGATGACATTCGCGCCATCTCTCCCCTCTCTTCTTCCGCTTCATGTTTAAGAACTCGAACTGGATTAAGGGAAACCTGTAAATAAAAGGCAAATTAATGAGCTTGGACAAACAAATGGAAAGAATCAATATCAGATCAAAAATGAGTAGGCCTAACTTTACAATGGGTGATTTTTTTTAAAAATACGCGTCTGTCATTAAGATAAGAAAAAATACAGAACTAAACCGATGAGAAATAAAATAAAATACAGTATGAATGACAAGCAGTAGAAATGACGTTGGTAAACAATAAAGTAAGGATATGCGAAACGAAACAGAAGTTCAGAACACAGATCAGCAGCTGAATGAACACATGATTCATGACAATACCTAACCTGTACACACTTGTGATAACTGATGGTAAAAAGTTTAACGTAACTTAAAAGTAACAGAAAAGGGCGATAATTTAGATAGAAAAAATGCCTAAATAACAGTAATGATACAAATACTCTTTTAGTACTCTTTAAATTGTAAAATTATCGAAGCCTAGACCATGCCTGGGGCTCGCCACCCGGTGTATTTAAGCAGCCGTAGAGGAAATTTCACAAAAGACTCGCAGTAAATGGTTCACCAACTACTCGCATGTGAAGAAAATATTGCGAACTATTGTTCGAAATAGACCCCTTAAAGGTACTAACCATTTTTGAATGTTTTTGTTCAACACAATCAAGAATTCACGCACGACCACGGGACGGGAGAGTTGCTGGTTGACGGGTTTTGAGGGCTTGAGTTGAGCCGGGAAACTGAAGGGAAGGGGGGTAGAGGGAAAGAGAGAGGGAGTCTACAAAGGGTGCGTTCATTATGCTTCAGGACCATTTTCTGACCAATGCATAAGAACATTGGAAAATTGTTGTTACGCGTTTATTTATATTAAATTCATCTTCACAATTTCCATGTTTTATTTATCTGTAATTACATGTATTACTTTCGCCCATTAAAAAGGAGAATGAAGTTATCAAAAGTGCGATGACTTTGTGCCTGATCAGTACATTTCCCGAAATGCGAGGGGGGTGGTAGAGGAGGGTGGGGAAGGGGCGAATTATTGTCGACTGCACAGTGAGTGTATACACAGTGGAAACGTAAACATTGTAAACATGGCCTCAATCGAGAAAACCACGACGCAATTAGCCCCTCAGCCCATTGTTAAAATTGGGCACTACACGTTGGGCCAAACCCTAGGTGTTGGTACCTTCGGCAAAGTGAAAAGTAAGCGATATTCCGTACCTTTTTGCGTTAGGTAGTACGTGCTCGTTCATGGCATCCCAATGGCTGGCAGAAGACCTTGAACAGCGTTGAAATAAATGGACAAAATTTCTGCAACTTATTTGATGATACCTTTAGGAATAGCTTGGATATGTCTATTACATGTGTTCTTACTTGAGTTTTGTTGTTTTCGTCATGATTATACTCTTTGTAAGATACAAGTTAACCTGGGACATATATATGAACATGCAAACCTTGGACCTTTAACTTTTACTCTCCTTTTCCACACTAAGTGAGAAAGCTCACTCTTGAAGTTTCTCAAAAAGTTGATCCTTACGTCAGTATTTTAAAAATTGTCAATAACTTTCAATTCATTTTTATTAGAGTTGTATCGATACATGGCGTAATGAGCACATAACATTACATACAATAGTTTACCCATTGCATTTCTGTCACTTTCAGTTGGAGAACATCAATTAACAAAGCATAAAGTTGCTGTAAAGATTTTGAATAGGCAAAAGATCAAAAGTCTAGATGTTGTTGGTAAAATTCGCAGAGAAATTCAGAATTTAAAGCTTTTTAGACATCCTCATATCATCAAACTGTAAGTATGATAAATCTCTGTAGACAGTATGAATTTTTTCTTTCTTGTTACTTTCTATATTACACCTTTCAAATATTTTTATTAGCTACCAGGTGATAAGTACACCCACTGATATATTTATGATTATGGAATATGTCTCTGGCGGAGAACTTTTTGATTATATTGTCAAACATGGCAAGGTGAGTCGTGGATCCTTTTCTGTGGCACCTGGGCACTGATGTAGTGTCTCTCTCAATATATTGGAGTTACTTTGTTCTGTTGAAAATCATGCTCCTTCCCATTTTTGTCCATATTATATCCTAGCTAAAGGAACATGAAGCCCGAAGATTTTTCCAACAGATTATTTCTGGTGTGGATTATTGTCACAGGCATATGATAGTACACAGGGACTTGAAACCAGAAAATCTGCTACTAGATCAAAATCTGCATGTGAAGATTGCTGACTTTGGTAAAATAACTAATTTTTGACCCAATATTATTTGTCTGTTTTCATTTTTATTTAGTCTCTCTATTTTTATAGGTCTGAGTAATATGATGATGGATGGAGAATTTCTCCGAACAAGTTGTGGCTCACCAAATTATGCTGCTCCTGAAGTTATCTCTGGAAAACTCTATGCTGGTCCTGAAGTTGATATTTGGTCTTGTGGTGTTATTTTGTATGCTCTTCTTTGTGGAACTTTGCCATTTGATGATGAGCATGTGCCAACTTTGTTTCGTAAAATTAAATGTATGTTTACTAGACAAAAGTCTTAAATCAAGTTAGAAATTTCTCATCACCTATGTACATTTAACCATGGTATATTTTCAGCTGGAATATTCCCTATCCCGGACTACCTCAATAAATCTGTTGTCAGTCTATTGTGCCATATGATGCATATAGACCCCATGAAGAGAGCAACAATTGAAGACATAAAGTTGGTATTTTCTAGAAATTGTGTGACCGAAGCTCAACTTTCACGCCAGTAACTGTTATAGTTCTTATTTCTAATTTTATCTACTTTGATGTTTTTAGGAAGCATGAATGGTTCCAGAAAGACCTACCTGCATATTTATTTCCCTCCCCAGTGGAACAGGATTCATCTGTAATTGATACGGAGGCAATAACTGAAGTTTGCGAGGTGTGAATTCAATTTAAAAGCACACTCAGAATTTATGTTTTTCTTATGAACATTTACTATTTTGGGTATGATTTCAGAAATTTGCTGTGAAAGAGTGTGAAGTACACAATGCACTTCTTAGTGGAGATCCACATGATCAATTGGGCATTGCATATCATCTTGTGATTGACAATAAGCGTATTGCTGATGAGGCAGCAAAAGCTGAACTTAAAGATTTTTATGTCGCCAGTAGTCCACCACCTGTGCAATTTGAATTCAGTCCATCTCCTGTTCGTCCACACCCTGAGAGGATTGCACGTAAGCTTGTTGTAACATTTTCCTCTCTTGTTTGAAACGCCTTCTTCCGAAAAGTGTAACACATGTGTACTTTGTGTATTTTCAATCAGCTACTTTCCGGAGTCGGGTTCCTAGTATAGACAGAAGTTCTCAGGGGGATGCAGCAATCCGGTCTGCTCCTGTCAAAAGGGCAAAATGGCATTTAGGTAAAACTATTATTTATCTTTCCGACAGAGTACTTAATTATCTTTAGGAAATGAAGATTCAATCCTTCTCATGGTATTTCAATTCTAGGTATACGCTCTCAAAGCAAGCCAAATGATATAATGAATGAAGTTTATCGAGCAATGAAGGTTCTAAATTTTGTGAGTATTTCTGCTTTTTATTGCATAATCAGAAACTAAGATTTCTTATGTATGTTTGCTATCATTCATTTTTCACATTTCTAGGAGTGGAAAGTAATAAATGCTTACCATGTAAGAGTGAGACAGATGTCAGTGAGCAATCCAGAGAAGTACATCAAGATGTCTTTACAATTGTACCAAGTGGATTACAAAAGTTACCTTTTAGATTTCAAAAGTCTTAGCTCAGATGAGCCTGAATGCAACTTGGCTGGTAACTGAAATTTTTTCCGTAAAAATCAAATCCCTGACCAAATACCTGTTATGTATTTAAGTTTTCCCTCTACTTTATTTTTTTTCAGATACAAGCTCTGTAGCACCAACCCAAAGTACAGGTCATCACACCATGGAATTCTTTGAAATGTGTGCTGCACTTATCACCCAGTTGGCTCGTTAATAGTGCAAGTTGCTTTGTTGCGGGATAAACATATTCTTAATTTTATGGTATGACAAAATGAAATATTTTCTATTGGAAATTTTCGCTTTTAAAGCTCAGTGATATGTGTTTGCCTGTAAAGTTATGAAAATGTTATATTCAAGTTGATCTTGTGTGTTATTGAGTCACTGAGCAAATTTCCTTTTCATGGAAATTTAGCATTTATCCATGTTACATTTATGTTTCTGAAACCAAAGAAACATTTTTTGGGGGGGGTACTTTTGCTCCAATTGGTATGAATGAGCAGCTTGTGAGACTTGTGATATCAAACCTTCTCCATGCATGCAGTAAAGAAATAAAATGTCCACCATAGTAAGTGATATTTTCATCAAAAAAATGTGTTAATCCTACAAAGTATTTCATGTGCAATTTGTCTTGAGGAAGTATAGAACGTTCATTTTGTATTTCATGGTTTGAGAGGTCATTTGTCAAAGTAGGTACTGTGTGCGTAAGGTGAACAACTTCCTAATGTGCAAGCAAGCAGTTGAGATGCTTCTAACTTTTCATGTCTCCTATAGTGGTACTTCCATTATTTCGACTATTTGACAACTTTTAAAACTGTATTTACGGTCCTAAGAAGTGTCCTGAAGTATGTATAAGTTAGATATATACTTTATCTCTATTTCCTTTCGTTTTTTGTTGTTGTTTTTTTGTAATTTGAATCCAAATTTAAGTTTTTTATCTTGAGTGGGCTGTCACATGAGAAAATACTAAATTATAAATTTTTGCCCATCTCAATAAAATAGCCTGGATACAATTGACAAGAAAAAATAAAATGGTGGAAGCCTCAAGGAAAACAAACAAACCTAACAATCCTCCCCCAAAATCAAATACTGGAATAATGAATCTTGACCTTTATTATTGAGATTCAGCTGAAATACTGAACAGCACAGCAATACAAATATTGTTTGATAATGAAGACTATACCACTTCAAATGGCAGAGGTGTACGATAGTCATCATTTAACAGTCACTAAGGCTAGAAGTCAATTCAAATGACTTGAAACTGTAATTCCTACATTGATTGAATACTAGCCCTTATGCAAGTATAGTACATACATGACAATACAGACTTATCTTATGACAGCACAAAATTTATGGCTCTCATCGACCTAGTCAATAAGGGAATTTAGGGAGAGAAAAACAATAAACAATATTTTAGACTATCAAAGTGACTTCTGACTGGTAGTGTAGGTACATACAGAATATGATTACATATACCAACATTTACCAGTTTAAAAAAAGATAAAAAAGATGGATTTAGGTTTCATACCATATGTACACAAACATCAGTAATATAAAAATCACAGAACGATTAAGAATGACTGAAAATGAAAAGCATCGCATGCCAAACAGATAATATATAAAATTTTAAGAGCAATTTAAACAGCAATGATGAACCTTAAAATGTAACCGTTGTGTAAAATCAGTTTTGATCATAGACATTGTTATTACTAGAGAATTAACAGATTTACAAAAACTGTATTTGTATCAGACATTAAGAACCCAAATGTTGAGACTTGATTACAGAAAAAGCCATAAAGAAATAAAATCCATAATGTTCAATCAAAAATATCACAATTACAACTTAGAAAGAACAAGAAAAACAGTGTTATTATACTGGACAATGTTAGTTGCAATGATTACTGGGTAACAGCCTGTTTCCATGCACGTGGTTTTCTTAGCATAGTATTTAAATCAAAATTTGAACCTATGGTAATTTTGAAATTATTCTTTCTGCTGTTTCACCCTATAAAACATCTTAAGTACACCTTCCGAACTAACAAAATATTCTTTATACAAAATTATAAAGTTTTGACACAACAGACTTAAGCAGATATTTTAAAATTTATCATGAAAGCAGTGCTGTTTGTACAAACTGTACATCAAATCTATACACAAAACTGAGTTTCAATACCACATATGAAAGAACATTTTTAATCTATACAAGTAAGTCCAGGACCATATAATAACTATCTCAGTTCATATGACCCTACCCTTCACTCGATACTGTTTTGAGCAATTTGGAGAAGATTGTAAAAGTGTAAAGTTAAAAAATCAGTTATGACAGAAATAACGCAGAGAAATATCAACTGATGAACACAAGCAATTTTACTTACAATGAAGTGTGTCAAATCACAACCATCTGAAACAATCAACATTAAGACATGATGCTGATGCACAGGTAGTAAAATGCTGTCATGGCATTTAAATGGTGCAAAACCAATCTGGCATTTAAAGCAAAATTCCATTAACACATACTATTTGTAACAGTCCGCTTATTCTTTCAGTACGTATCTAATGTTAGCATTTCAGCATTGCCAGTAGGTAGTTAATACTAGTCATATGACACATAAGAATGAATACTACTAACTACATAAGCAAGATTTTAAACAATTTACAAATGCTTCACGCGCAGAGGCAAAACATGCAATCACTGGCATTGTGGATGATTAAGATAAATGATAAATAAATAAAATGTCATACATGATATGAAAAAAAATTAATTCATAGGAGTACAATTACAAGCCCACATTTTCCACAACACATGACAAATGACTTTCACATAATAGATCCTAGTCTGCAGGGGACTAATTCAACTTTTGCTGAATCGCTGTGCATAAGAGCTCATTGCACAAATTTGAGAGTAGACTTGCAAAAATGTACCAAGACAGAAAACAGGATCAAAGAGCTTCTGTGTCTAGCACTGGCCAGTCAATACACTAGACTATTATGTTTTTTGTTTTTTTTACGGACAAATCTTTGGCTGTGTATAGTCCTCAATATTACACACCATTCACATAGGAGTACAAAGAGCAAATGAAGAAAAAAAGGCCTCCAATAAAATGTCCTAGCCTTGAGACTTTAATATGGCTACATTGTTCCATAATACAGGAAACTAGATTGAATCAATATACAGGTCTTTCTCTGGCAGTAATGACTTTGTCTATAGATGACGGCACACTAATAATCTCACAAGGGAAAAGGTGTTTCCTGAACTATGACAATGTAGCCACAATATCACACAAACATTCTTAACAACATAAACAATATTGAGTCTACATTAACAATACATATTCTACCTAAACAATAAACCATAAAATCGACAATCAGTCAAAAAGCAGCTCCAAATTGTAAATAGAAAAGCCAATTTAGAAGAGGAAGAGAATCACTGGGTAAAATACCTTACATTAAGCTTTCTAGGCCCACACAGAAAGTACCAGTACTTCCCATCCAACTCAAACCAGTTGAGGGTATTGAACACACTTTAGATATATAGATGACTCCAAAAGTAGCATACATATGTTAAAATTTAAAGGAAAAAAACCTGTCAGTTGTCAAAGGTCAATATTGATGTTTGCTACTGTACCCACGTATAAGTAAACATGAACCCAATCAGGAGTTCAATAGGGATAAAAAGATGGCTACAATTTTTTTTGTAAATGGGAAACATTGCAAAGAATTGCAAATACCATATGGTAAATGCAGGGAAATATTAAGTTAGATACAAAAATTAGGTATAGGCCAGGGTTACTGATTCCAGCTGCACACACTCCTTTCCCCTCATGTCAAGGTATAAGGGGGAAAGAACTTGTAACAACAAAGAAAGATGTTGGAGCTGAGCAGTTAACAGAACAGGAATCCAATATACTTGATAATCAAAGAGACCTACAGCCTTAAGGTATTTGTAAACTTACACAAACTGCAACCACTAGCAGCGATAATGTTTGATTTTCTTCTTTAACAGAACTATGTATTGCTTTCCATTTTGTCATGGACTTACTAAGAGCGTGTACCACTCTTCACTTTGAAATAGATAACAGTACAACTGGTGTAAAAAAAATCATATCTGACACCAGAAATATAAATTTGAATTCATTAGGACTTTTTAAAAGAAAAAATAACAGGGTCTATGCAAGTAACGTGTAAATTACATAAAGTTTGAGCTTGAAAGGAAAAGAAGAGTAAGATGACCACACACACACACTTATGACAATGGTGGTCCCTTCCTAAGATTTTTGGCCAAATGTAGGAACATGTGCATTAAAAATATCCGATTACTGACTGGAAAAGATTTTAGACACACTGAATGACAACACAGACTAGACTTTTATAGGTATTCCCAGTTACCTAAAATAAAGAAATATATTATGCTTTAAAGCTTATTGCATACATCTCTCCTAAAATTTGTAAAATTGTCCACCTTAAAAGTCTTTTTAGCCATAATGGGACACACATATATCATTAAATCTTAGGCAGATATACCTTACCTTACAAGAATGGCTCATTCATGGCTCAGTTTCCAACTGCTCAGCAAGGTAAGTGATTTTGACTATGAGACCTGGTCTTATGTTTTGGCTGAGCATGTTGGAACAAAAGTTGTAAAGGAGAGATGACTAGATACCTCTTAGACTGGCAACTGTGCTGACAATGTGAGTTTTGATGGAATGAGAAGTTGGCCTAGGGACTTGCTACGAGCTCGACTTGGCGGTCTATCTGGCACTGGAGGGGCATGTCCAGCTGCAGAGCCAGCATGCCACTCTGCAGACGCAGGTGGAGAAGTAGACGAAGCAGACGCGCCAAGGGCTGCAGCAGCCAATGGCGCGCCGGCGTCTTGTCAGGTGGTTCCATTGCACTCATTCTCAGAGAGGTTGTGGAGGTCAGCATAGTTGACAATGGCTCGATGTAAGAACTCAAATTGCGCCTGTTGATGAAAAAAACAAAAACAGATAAGAGAAAACAAATCAACAACAATTGTTGTTTTTTTCACAAGGATGTGAAGTAGGAAACCATCCTAACTTACAAAAGTTTGAAGCATGCCAGGTCGTTGTGATCTCAATTTGCGAGCAACAGTGCACACATCAATTTTTTTCTCTGTGCGCAGTTGTTGCACTAAAATACTAAGAGCCACAAACATAGAGCTGCGGTCTGAGCCCGTCCTGGAGATTATTTTTATAGAAGAAAAAGAAGTTATAATGACTTTACTCTTTTAAAAATCAGGTAAACAGGACAATTAACATGAAGTATACTTACATGCAATGCACAACTATAGGACCAGTTGTACTGCCTGAATTTAACTGTGTGGAGTGATGGCTCTGTGCCTGATCTGCCAACTCAATTAGCCCACGGGTAACTTCTGGTACTTGACCTTCAACAGTTGGCCAACCATGGTACTGAAATTGTGTCACAGAAGTATTTTCGTTGTTCTAGAACCAAAGAGAAATAACAGTGTCAATTTGAATCATAAGAAAAAGAAGTTTGTGACAGATTTTGAAGATTTACCTTGGTATTTGTAACACTAAATTCTCTTCTTGTGTAATATGGACAACTCTCACTTTGGATGTATCTTACTCTGATGTGGTCGTAAGTTGTTTCATCATCAGGCTCTGGCCAATATCGAAAACATTTCCGACTATTGTCGCCACTATTGTTTTCTTCTGATGTTGGTCGTTTCTAAAACCAAAGATACGGTAGATATGTTAGTCATTTCCTCTCTTGCACTGTCGCTACCACCAACCAGCAGTGAATCTTAACATTTTTCACAACATACTAGCGTATCAAAAACAGGCATTCCCTATTACTGGGCATTTGTCCGAACATGTATAAAACAAGAGTCATAAAATATCTAAGGAAGCATCAAGGAGTTAAAAATAAAGTACTACATTAGAACTAAAATACAAAAGTTTACTTACATCAGAGAGCATTACTAGTGTGCTGATGCACTGTTCAGAGAGCATACGCCAAAAATCTGCACAAGTTGTTTCTAAGGGATCTTGAGCGATGAGGAATGACTCTGAATTATCATATCCCTGAACAGGAACACATTGATTATAACCATGTAATTTGACTATAGAATCTTTCTTTCAGTCTTACTAAACTACTATTACCAACCTCAATAAATGAAGCATTGATATAGGTTGCATGCTCTCTGCTAGCAAGTGGTGACAAAATGACTCGGTTCCTGTCGTAAGGAATCACGGATTCACTACGATTTTTCCCCGAATGTTCTTCGGCATTACCAAAGTTAGATGTTTTTTTCTCCTCAACCACTGCACAAATTTTCTGTAAAACATATTTATTGTTAAAACAAAAAGTGATGGCACAGGAATTTTGAGTTAACTGAACAATGTAAATGTCTTACATCAAACTCTTCCTCCATCTTTGTCTTTGTTTGCCCATTTTCACGTTGCCTTAATTTTTCAACCGATGATTTCAATCGGGCCAAAGATAATTCAGTATCACCAAATTGTGCTACTTCAACCAGTGCACGGTACACAAATATATATTGTTTCTGGAAAGAAAGAATAGCATTCCTAAAAATTTGTAAAACTACCCTCCCCCCTTAGATTAATTTACTCAAAACACAAGATTTTCATTTAAAATTGTTTTATATCCAAACTAACCAATGACTGAACCAGGAAATTTCTTTGGTGTCTTAAATCACAAACAGTGTTGAAAATTGCAACATGTTTTTCATCATTAAGCTGTTGTATTAAAGAATCAAGAGCCACAAGAGTTCCCGTTCTGCCAACACCAGCACTGGAAGCAGAAGACATCTCACTTAGTATATTTAAGGTAAAGGGAAAAATCCAAAATGTAATGAGCACAATTTCTACACATATACCAGACCTGCAATGAACGAGTATGGGGCCCTTTTCCAAGGAGTATGCTTCATTCATTCTTCTGATGAACTTGAGAATTCCAGCAGGATGTTCAGGGGCTTGAAAATCTTTCCACATGAGGAAGTGATATTGCACTATTTTCCTGGTTTCAGAACCACTCCCTCTGGACATTTTGAGGTCTCTCACAATGTAATCTGTTCAAATTTTTAAAGTTACATAAACAAAGACCAACAAACAGAAACAGGAAAATCAAGGGAATTTTAAAATTCTTACCAGAACACTTTCTTTCAGAGACATGAGTCACAGAAACATCACCAAATGACTTAGTCTCCTTTGAGTCTGGCCAATATTTAGCACATTTAGTTTTAGAGTATTCCTCAAGATTTGTCAGCATTAGTACTAACTCAAGATGTTGCTCCCAAATCATGCGCCAGAAATCTGATACTGTGTCTTCCATAGGTCCTAAATACCATGAGGTGGAAAAATTATAGTTTACCATGTTTATAGAGCTAAAACTAGGACATGGTTTTACTGAGTTATATTCAACTATCTCTATGACTCACCCTGTGCACAAATAAATTTCTTTCTCTCCTTGTAACCAACAACAAAATTGGCATTTATATAATCAGAGCCCAATACGCTATCAACTTGGGCAAGTTTTACCCTTGTTTGATCGTAAGCTTTAATATCAGGGTATCTATTTTTGTACATATTCTCTCGAGTCTCAGAAGCCACTGTAGTTCTATCTGGGAATCGATCAGGTAGCATCTACATAGAATTAGAAATACATGCAATAAGTGTATTTAAAATCATACCCTCTCACACATGACACAATGTTTATTTTTAATAATTTTTAATAAAAATCCAACCTCAAACTCATGTTGGAATCCATAGTCTGAATCTTTGTGTCTTTCAGCATAGGCATTTGGAAGGTCACTAGCACCAATAGGTGTCATGTCAGGTGGCTGCTGGGACACCAAAACATGACGGCCACGAAGGGAGCGATACAAATGGCTGCAAAAGAGGCAAGCGAAAATAATGAATATATTCATGAAAAATGTTTTCACAGTTTTCAAAATGTGCAAGGCAATGACAGTGTCACTCAATAAATTACCGGAAGGAGGTCCGAAGATTCATTTCAACACCCTGAGATTCCGCTACTTGCTTAGTGTAGCGCTGAAGAAGGCACAGTGATGCTAACAGGAATAGAATTACCAGCATCAACGCACATAACACCTGCAAAAAAATGGCACAATTTTTCTCTAGTACTTTCTGGGTCAAAGAATTAACAGCTAAATTATAATAACCAATTAACTAAGACAGATTTCCGGTGAGATTACATACCTGCAAAATCATAACGATAGTAGTAGATTCCGTTGCTTGTAAAACCTGAGGTCCAGGGTTGAGGACAATAAAATAGCCACTGTATGCTGGGATCATAGATTTCTGATTGCCTAGAACTAAGACAGAGAAACGTTTGAAAAAATAGAAAGAGTGAAGTATAAGCTAAATTGTAGAGCACAATGTCTTACGGGCTCAATTGATAACAGAAGATAGATTGCAGCAACAATACTTACCAATTACTTCAACAAATCCAGTATAATTGCTGTTCATATCCAACTGCCCATCATGGACAGGCAATGTATCATTTGATTCCGGAACGGGTAAAGAGGGTGGTGTCACTGCTTCTAAGTTTGACTCCTCAATTACTATATCATTGTTTGATCGTCTCCTTCGCAACCCGCTAACTGCTGGGGTAGATGGCTGCAAAGTAGTCTCACCCTAAAAGAGTTTTAAATGAGAATAATATTTCATATCATTAATTGCAAAAAACAACAATATACAATTGAAACACTACCTCTTCTTCAATAGGTACAGGTGGTTCTTGAGTGGTTGACATAAGTGAGGGAATATATGCAAGGTGCGGTGAAGTTTCAGAATCCACTGGTTTTGGAGTAGTGGGTCTAGGTGAGACTCTCTTCAGACCCATACACCTCTGACAAGCACCTGTATTATTGGCCTCAACCATCCGACCATCCCCAACAATCACCTCTGTGTTGGGAAGGCTGAAAGAATATTCAAGTTACTGATTGTAAACTGAGGTTTTATTTTATGATGTCAATCGCTTGACGTTTACCTTTCAAACATTTCAGCTAAATACGCTCCTCCCTGTGGACTCCTCTGGACTTCTTGATACGTGGACACTTGAAATTCCTCAGGTGCTGGCAAATCAGAAACACTACGCATAGGTGGCAGCTTCACAACAAATACCCTGCAAACATGAGATCAATTGAATTAACACCATACTTTCCTTATTTCAAAACTCTAGCTGTGTTTAAAAAAAAAAAAAAAAACACTTTTTTTTCACACATTTAAGTAATTGAAAATATATGATTACCTGTAGCAACAAATCGGTCCATTCCTCTCAGTAATTCGAGGGAGGTACAACTTAAACATCCAGCGGCCATGCTCCTCAATTTTACCCCAATTGATACGATTCAATTTTTCTCTGTCAGGTATTGTTGGGGGTGTCATACAGTGGCGAGTTGCTTCTGCACCTCCACCACGAGATCTTGTTACTCCTGATACACTGACCTGAAATCAATTCATCAATTACTAATGGAACCAAACTAACCTAGAGTAGTACAGCAATAGGCACACAAAACTCACTGTATAATTGGTGTTGGGAGGAACAACGTCAAATCTTGCAGAATGCATATTAGCATCAATACTCTTCACCTTAGGGCCCCATGTCATTGACTCAGGAAGACCTTTCTCACTAAGGAATTTTGCCTCCCCAAATAAATGAACCTGTAGAGCAAGAGAATAACAACATGATGGATTTCTGTATAATTCACATTTGAAACTGAATATTGGTGTAAATGAGAACACTATACTCACATTATAGTGGGTGATGTGTCCATTAGGATGCAACGGAGGTGCCCAACTAACCATTACGAAACTTGCATAGCTCACATTGTCAAATTTACACGTTACAGTTACGTTTTCTGGGGGACTTGCAACTAAAGAGGGGAAAATGAAGAAATTGTATAATCTCATCCGGTCTTAATTAAAACAATCAAATATGTAAGAGCTACTTACGCCCATCCATAGTTGTTCCTTCAACTGGTTTTGACCAATCATTACACTGTTTTGTGAATTCACTGCATGCAGCTACTTTGAAATGGTAGAGTGTTGCAGATTCCAGGCTGGTGAACATGAAGACATTCATATTCATTGCGGGGTGTATAGCTTCTCTTCTTGTCTTGTTGTTACTAAGCACTAATGTGTAGTAATGAATGTGTTCCCTCAATGGCACAGGAGGTAATGTCCACCCAATTGATATAGAATCTGGTGTGGCTCCTTTTACAGATACCTCAGGAGTAAACACAGGATCTGTACAAAGCATTAAGTAGATTTTAGTTATGAACAAGCAATATTATTTTATTTGGTACTCGCAGAAAAAATACAAAAGTAATAGAATCTGACTCACCTGCATTTAATGTAGTAACCCAGTTTTGTAGCTCATTAACATTTCCCGTACCAATAGAATTTTTGGCAGAAAGACGTATTTTGTATGAAGCATTAGGTTCTAAGTTGCTCATAACATGGCTTGTGTTGCCCCCTCCAACATACTCATTGTAGTGTGTCCAAGACCCAGTTCCATTTTTCATATGCTGCAATAATTGTGGGTCTGTTTCAGTGAGGCCTTTTAAAGGTAGACTTTTATATATGGGCTTTTATAAACTTACCTGCATAAAGTACTGTTGGATAGGTTCATTTCCATCACTTACAGTCCAGTTAAGAAATATCCTTGTAGATCCCACAGCCTTGAAGAAGTCAATACTTACAAGAGGAGTGTCTGAAATGGAGTGAAATGTTGAACCACATTTACTTTGCTAGAGGTACAGCTCATGAACTAAAGCTAAAGTCAAAATCAAACAAAAGAATAATTTACCGAGTACATAAAGTGGCACTAGGGCCACAGCTTCACCAGAGGGCCCCTGAGCTTTGCAGAAGTAAGTTCCATTATCCTGGCGCACAAGATCTCGAACTTTCAAAGTGGTCTCAGCAAATGAATCATTCAAAAACTTTGTTTCCACAGCATCCCTGAAAGGAATTGAGTCATTTATAATAAAATAAAAAGATTAAATGAAATACTTATTTAGAGTCTTCAATCAAGTAGGCTTAAAATCTCACTTCAGTTCTTCAGGAGATTGAGTATCATTTCCCTTTTGCCATACAATAGGACCCAAAGGGTGACCTCGAATTGAACATGAAAGAGTTTCTTCATTCCCAACTTTAGCCCGACCAACTTTTGTAGAGACTATTTCCGCAGGCACTATAGGCACAAAATTGTTATTAGAAATTAACAAAAGTTTCCATTGTGTTTTAATTTACTCTCAATTATGTAGTAGACTTACCTCCAACATCAAGAACTACTGTTTTTTTACTAGATAAAGAAGCCTCTCCTTCTGATGTACCCAAGGCAAAACAAGTATAGTTACCAGCATCAGTTGTTTGGGCACAGGATATAAGTAGTGTGGCATTCACTGTTTCACCATTTTCATCAGGAGTGGATTCAACAATAATCCTGCAAGGCGGGTACGTTTAAGTTCTCAAATGAAGGTCATTGTTGGATTAGATTTGTTTGGATTCATTGAGTTGTATAATTTATTTATTTTTACCTGGCATTAGACTCTGTAATATTTTTTCCTCCAGAAAACCACCACACACGTGCTGATGCAGGACGTACTTGACACACTAATGTGGCATTGTCACAGACAACAGTATTGTTGGGAATGGACACATTTAATATTTCAGGTGGGCTGCTAACTTCTGTGAGGCAATAAAATTAATCTGATTAAATGACTGATGCATACAATGCAATAAAACTACATCAAGTACACAAATGTCACATTCGGTCAGATTTAAGGCCCAAATACATTCTCTCAAACCTGACGAAAGTCACAATATTAATATCCTCATTGAAAAAGAATCAAATAACAATGAAGCCCCCCAAAAAACATGGGGTAAACATCCAAGAAATACAACATGATGGTGGATATTTTTTCCAGTAAACTTAACAGAACAAGAAAATAATTCCTATTTGGCAGAGTTATCCGATCCGTACAGTATTAGGACAAGTTCCAGACAAATAATTTAAGCAAAACCTGATACAATTGGTTTACTTACAGAGTAAACTTAATAGTTCACAATAATTAGAAGCTTAGTTAAAGCACAGTTAAGACCAAAACGATCAAAACTGTAAATGACAACAAGGTGATGTATGAATGCAGACTAGGTGAGCCCATTGATAAAAAGTGCAGAATGGAGATACACAAAATAAAAATGACGGCACAAAAGGTGCAAAGCCGTCATAAAAAGCAGATGCTTTGTCTGGTACCATATTAATTTAGCAGTATATACACAAATTAGCGCCCCCTAAAAACAGAGACATCCGATAACCTAACCCCTTCAACCGGCCGCCCCTCCTGTCACTCGGGGGGCGGGTTCGCGTCCCGCCGACGCCGTGGGGCACCGGATTAAGGACTTACCTGCCGAGATGACGAGAGAATTGACTCCCAGAGACAAAAGGACGCATCCCATAAGCGCTATGTGGACTCGGGCGGAATGGGCTCGGCCCATGGAACCACCCATGGCGTCCTTCTCGCCGGCTGGAGCTGGAGTCCTGAGGACCATATCACACCCACTCCTGGAGCCGGACCGGAGCCTCCTGGACACTCCTGGAGCTGGGCCCTTCCCTTCGCTCGGGCCGGGGTGGTCCGGGACGGGGCGCAGATCGACCAGACCCACCCTCCGTCAGCACACAGTCCGGCCGCGACGCATCTTGAAATCACAACATGCAATGTTTGGGTGGTGCAGTTGACATCTTTGTTTTCACTTGTCTGTTCCGTCTTCTGTCCTTTGCCGTGCCGTGCGTGAGGCCTACCTCCCCCAGCGGAAGAAGAAGAGGAAGAAGAAGCCCGCCCTTATGGCCGATGCACCGATGATGCATGCGGCCAGGAATACCGGGAGAAGGGAGTGGTGGGGGACGCGCGGGGGAGGGGTCTCGGCGCGTGGCGGCGCGTGGCGTGGCGTGGCGGCGTGGCGGGGGAGGAAGAGGAGGGGAGGGGAAGGACGTCGGGACGTCGTCGTAGCTGGGCGCAGTCGGCCAATCGTCGGACTGCGACGGACAGACGGACGGATGGACTCCGGAAGCTGACTACACGCACGGCGCTTCCTGTCGGGATGGGAAAGGAAGAAACATAAATAAAGTGGGCCCGGTGGTAACGTGGTGGGGAAGAGTCATACCCACGATAGTGTAGTATGCCCCCAACAACAGCACGTGACTCAATGGGCCCCCTATCTATACGAAGAACGGTTCGTCCCTGCTGATGATAAGTGCACTGGTCCCTGGTCGGTACTGGTTCGTGGCTCCAGTCCACTGATCCCTCCAAAACAGCGCCGTAAAATCAGTTTTTAAATGCCTAAGGGGTTAGCCTAGGGGCTTTACGTCCACGTCTACACTGAGGCGCGCAGCTGTCACGGACTAGGCCACATCAGCGGGGCCGAACCCCGTATTGCAGAGTCGTGTCGCGTAGCCCCAGTCCCACAGCTCGACAGATCACCCGTGGATTACCCCCGAGCTTGGATTTCTAGCCTGCTGGATTGCCGAAGACGGCGTCCTCGCGCGCCCCAGGCACGCCCCTGGCACGGGCCGGGCAGGCGGGGCACCGGGGCCGGGGCACGCCGCACGCCGGCCCGCACGGCCGAGCAGCGCGCGCAGCGCAGTCATTCCCTTGTATGGCGAATGGACGCCCAGTGTGTCGTGTCCACACGGCCACCACCCGTGCAGCCCGCCATGCCACAGCTCTGACTCAGGATCACCCATTTTCTTCTTGAGGTGTGAACGAAACGTAATCTCGGCGGAAGCACACACACCCATCGCCTTTGATTCAGAGTAAGAAGACACTTGTCATTCAACGGCCTTCCCCGACCTTTCTGCACGATGGGAATGCCTCACTCTCCCTCTCCCTGGTAGTACAGCAGACGCCGAACCGCAGCTGACGCCGGCGGAGAAGTGTCCAACCAAAATCGCGGCGGCGGCCTGGTGGCCGTGCCCTCCAGCCGCCAGCCACGCCCCTCCGCGATGACGCTGGAGATGAGGTCATCCGGGCGAGGTGGGGCGAGGCGGGGCGGGGCGGGGCGGGGCCAGTGCGGCGGGAGCAGTGGAGTAGGTCAGTGTCGCGAGGTCTTGGCTCTTCCCGTCTTTAGGTGGCCGGCCGCCGCGCCGCCACCGCGCTCCCAGAAAGGGCTGGGTGCCGCCGCCTGCAAGGACAGGGGTATGCAGGCCCGGTCAACACCCCGCCGTGATCGGCGGCCTACCCAGCAGGGGAGCCGAGGGAGGGGGCAAACTGAGCAGGGCAGAAATCGAGGAGGAACTATCATACCAACGTCCTTTTATAAATCAAACACTTCAGATGTATGTCCGTTATGGTCACCAGAGGCAGAACTGCACAACCCCTAAATGGGGAGGGACAAATTTTGAACCTAGGCTGCTAGATGTGTCTTTGAGCACTTCTTCATCAGCATCATCAGGTACAAATTTGTCTGTCTGTACGGAGGTACAAATTGTACCTAGGCTACAAATGAACAAATGCTCTATGTGGTATGTAACGTATATAAAAATTTGTATCTGGTTTAGATGTGCACAAAGACACATCTATCCAACGCAGAAAAACTGTCCCTCGCCATTTAGTGAGTGCTTCTATTAGCTCGTGCGTTGTGCGGACACAGCCAGTCAAGATGTTCACCATCTGAAAATTTAGTTCCACTTTTTTTTGCCGATTATTCTTATTGATGAGGCGAGGCTGCAAACAAGTCTGGACCTTTCTGTCGCGACGGCTGCTGCCCCGAGCCCGAGTAGCCTATCGTTGCGTACCCAGTCTGTACCGCAGTTGAGTGAGTGACCATATGTTCGTCATAGTAATGCCAAACTCGTTTAGGGCCGTTTGGAGTGAGCCGCGCCGC